ATCAAGACACATCCCCTTAGGCTGATGGATTTTTCCCTCTCTGCCAAGGTGATGAGTGTGAAAATGCTAATGCACTGCTCATCCTAACACCTGATGAGACAAAAAAACGTGCAAGTTTCTAGAGACAGAGAAGTATAAGAAAAATGATTGTAAGGCAGCCTCTACCTTCCTGTACAGGGTGCCATGAATTCAGTCTGATTTTCCCCCAAGAAACAAGGCCTTGGTGGGATTTCATAAAGCAATACAGGCAGGATGCAAAATGCAGAAGCCACCAAAGGCTACAGATTCATGGGCAGGGGCCAGCACCCCCCACCCCCCTCACCCTGACCCTGCCATCACCACCGCCGCCCAGGAAGGCCCTGTCTCGGCTCGCAGGTTTTACAGAAGTGATCACAAGTCCTAACTTTTTTTTATACCACCCCCAACAACTCCCAAATTTTAAAGAAAAAAGTAAATGATGTTCTTATATACTATTTAACAGAAAGCCTTCTTTTTTTTTTAACAGAAGAACTAATGAGCATGTGAATGAATGAACCAGATACTACAGCAAAAATAAAAATCAAGTCAACTAAATGTAGTAACTCTCCATTCTCATCGTTTCTCCCCTCTGTATTTCCCTCGTGAGAAGGAACATTTAGATCAAGAAATTTCAGAGAACTTCCGGGCATTTCCACAGCATTTGCAGTGAAATGTGGGGAAACAGGACCACTTCAAAGCTTTTTGAGAAACTGATCTGCTTTGCTGTCACTCTTACCTTAAATTTCCCAATGCAAATATGTGCACTAGGCAGGAAGCCTCCACCTGGATGACAGTCAAATGCAGCCAAGGGTCGTCCCCTGACTATTCAAAGGCAAGTGGCCGAGGCCACGCCTCTGGGGTGCGCAAGGCAGATGGACCCACACCCGAGCACCCGAGATTTCCTTGGAACCAAAGTGAACCACAAGGGGGGCGCAAACACCTGCACGCCCTCGCAAACCCACGCCCTCCCGTGCCAGGTGGCATCCTGGCTTAAGGTCTTCCGGGCAGGGAGCCGTGGCACTGCCAGGCCCCGTCCCTCTGCACAGCCCCCCCTTAATTAAAGGCGCTGACACCCCGTCTTCTGTCAAGAACGTCCCGACTGAAAGAGAACAAGCAGCAGCTTCTCCGAGCCCAGCTCGCTTCACTCTGCTTCACTCTGCACAAAGTCACAGCCTGGGCCCCTGCGCTCCGAACCCTCCAGAGGCCGAGGCTTAACCCTTGCCCCGCCGACCCTAATTAGAGCCCGCATTCCTTCACCACCAGGCAACGTTCTCAACTCGTTTTACACGTTTAACCCTCAGCACAGCCTCCGAGTCGGGACTGTTCTTTCCCACTTTCACAAGCGGGGAACGGAGGCAAGGAGCTGCAGGCGGCGGCGCCTGGCGGCACTGAAGTGGAGCCCGGGTGGGGGCGCGGAGTCCTGCCCCTTCCTGCTGCTATCTCTGCTCCTCCTGCTTCTCTGGCGGGGGCTCCACCTCTGCACCCTCTCACCACTTCTCATCTGCACTCGGTGGCGGTGGGTGGCGGGCAGATAACCCAGTCCCGCCCGTCCCAGCCCCAGGGCACCCAAGTCAACGCCCTGGGACAGCAAGACATCTCTGGGCATCTACTCAACACCAGGCACTGCTCCCGGTCCCAGAGCCGCAAAGGTGACTACACCCAGGCCTGGCCTCGGGTCTCCTTGATGAGGTCCGGTTCCAGCAGCTTATAGATGCTGGCTACTCAGAGAACCTGGAAGCTGTCCCCAGACCTTCACACACAGCCCTGTGGGCCAGTGAGCTCCCGGGCAGGCAGGGGAATCTGTGTGCCCACACCTGTATCGATGGTCTAGACCCCTGAGGTCTGACTTTAGGATGTGAAAGGCACCATTACATCATGCAAACGTCACTTACACAAAAGTATTCCTCTTCTCCATCCTAACCCCCTGCCCCGGCTGCCTGTCTGTCTCACCTGCCTGCGTGGACCTACCTAGACGGTTTTCAGGTGTTAACGGAGGGGTGACAGCAATAACCAAGAAGTGACACGCACAGCACAACAGAAACAGCTCCTGTTTTGTGTGCTACGTTTCCAGAAACAAAATACAACACAGTCTTGCCCTTAGGTTTACATTTTTATTTTTATTAGTGGGGGAACAGAGCCAGCAGCCCCCAAGAAGCTCCAAATCTCCCACCAATCTAGAGGCTCCCCAGGGTGATTCAGCACGAACTCCCATGCAGATCCTCAAGGCAGGCAGGTTAGCAAGCCGCCTAGAGCAATAGGAAAGTGCTTCCATTCGCGGGAGGTGTGTTCCCAGACTCACCGCCCCGAGCGGTTTACGGTGGCCACGCCCTTGCTGTGACTCATCAGGCCACAGACCTGACAGTCTTTCGGTAATCAGGCTCTAATCCTAGCACAAATTACACCTGATAATTTTCAAAATTCTGATTGCATCAAACTCTGAGACTAGCAAGACGGTCTTCCCAGTTCAATACAGACTATTCAAAGAATTAATGAATGTTTTTGCCCAGTATCTCCCAAGTTAGCCCTCTAGGGAGAAAGAAATGTCTTCCAACAAAGGTTAAAAACAAACTAACAAAAAACCAAACCAGCTGCTAGAAATTTGAGGTTATAGATTCATGGGGGATACGTTATACAATTACAATTGCAGATTATCCCCAATTTCACATAATATCAACATAGACAACAGCCTAAAGTCAAGTTCATGAGGATTCTTCTTGCACACTAACATTTGGTAACATTTGTAACTTATAGAGGAATGTTTAAAAGACTGTAAATTAAGTACTCTGAATTCTCACAATAAAAGCACTGAGAAGCGTAGTAAATAAGCCATGAGAAACTGGGACAGGCACTTGTACATTGTTTCAATGAGCTCCACAATGTATCGTGCTCTGGTTTTGTTGTCCCTGTGCTCTTGTGCCACAGAATCAACTCCCTTGATTTACTATTGTTTTAAGAATTACATACACAGGCTTGTCACTTAAAGAATATTTATTTTCTAAGCAAAAAAAAACCAAACCACTTCTCAAACAAGGCTTAAATTTACATAAAATCCAGTCAACCTCTTCAAGGAGAACTATTTAACGGTATGATTGCTACAGCTAATATTATATTTTCAACACCCCATTCAATTTTAATCCACCAGACCCGAGAGTCCAAAAATTAATATTTCTATTAATATCAATAAAAACGTGTACTTTCTCCCCCTTCATCCCACAAATCCTCAACTCCAAGAGGGAAGGCTCACCTTTCAGATGGATTCTTCCTTAAATCACACCAAATAAAATAAACTCAAAAAGAGTCAAAGCTCTGAAGTTAACAAATGTTTGGGCCATCTCTGAAAAAAATCCCACACAGCCTGACCTAGCCACATTCAAAACACCAGCGTGTGAGGTCAGCTCAGGACAGAGCTGCCCAGGTTTGCATCAGCAGCAAACCACACCGGGAATCACACAGATCCCACCTTGTGCCCCTTTGCCTTCTTGGGACTCAGCACAGAATAATGTCCACTTCAGCCAGAAACCCTCCACTCACCACAAAAAGAAACCTCTACCCTCCAGCTGTCTTTGTCCAAACCGGCGTGGGCAGGGGTAACTCCCACACCCTGGGATGTTAAGTTTCAGCACACCAAGGAGGAGGGGAAGGTGGGCCTGCAGGCCAACACGCCCAGGCCCACCTGTGTTTGCAAACGGCAGGCCGCCCCCGGAACTTTCTATAACGCAACAGGAAAGAGTAACAATTATCAGCCTGCACTCGCAGGTACAAGAAGGAGCTTCATTCAGTCTGTATATAAACAGTGCACCTGATCAAAGTGTCAGTATATTTATTGTAGACTGAAGCCAAAGACGCCTGGCAGCCACCACCCTCAGGAGAGCCAGGGCGTGGGCACCAGCAGCCCTGCCCCAGCACAGCCTGAACACAGCCACCCCAAGGAGCTTCCAGAACCCCGTGTGGATGCGGCCCTGACACCTGAGTCCTGCATCCTTCCAAAGGAGGAACAAAAACTATCTCCCCAGGAGAGGTCCGGGCTGCTGTAACACGGGATCACTGAGACCCGGCCTGTTTTCAAACTAACCTATATTTTGGGTAAGGATGAGATGCTGCATTTCTAAAGAATTCTAAAAATCAGAAACAGGGCGATGTACAGCCTCCTGGTACATGCTTAGCAGTGCTGATGGTCAAAGATGAGAAATCCTAAGCAAATTAGGCAAAAATTCTCAACAGGGGAGGTCAAGCTGGCACAATGGTACACCAGCCAGAGTATGTGAGAAGTTGTCACCTTACCCCACCGTGAGGGTGCCTAGTAACCAACACAGGAAAAGCTTCTTAACATCCCAATACCCTAATTTCAACATGACCGGATTATTCCAAAAATAGAAACATCACAGTCACTCATTCGCAGTATGCTTTACACCAAAGTACAAAATGGGGCACGTGTTTGTACAAAAAAAAAAAAAAAACCAACCAAACAAAAAAACCCCAAATTGAGATGCAAGGGCAGAATTACAACAGAAATGTAAAATAACTCATTGTTCTGTGCACTTCCCAGAATTATGCTATTTAGCTCCAACATTCTCCCTTTAAAATATACTGCCTTTCACCAACTACAAAAACAAGTATCTGTTGAGCACTAGTTCAGGTGTTACACACCCAGCAGTGAACAAAACAAAGCCTGATTTTAACATGGTTTTCTTTCTGTGCAAATACATCCACCTCATTAAGATAACACAGAATGTGGAAAATTGCCTCCAGATCTTTTTCACTTTTACCAGCAAAGTTTTTCCCATAATCAAATGTTCCTTGAAAACATCCCTTTTATTGGCTATATAATATTCTACCACAGATGGTGTCATCACTTATCAAAAGGTTTTTCTACATGCTCAACCACCAGCAGATAAAAACACAAAGGAGGGACACAGTTAAACTCAGAACGTTAGACTCAGATTCAGGACCATAAAGAGGGGAAAAGGAAGATACAACCTTACCGTGGATCACAGACCCCGGGCCGTGGACAGGAGCGCAGTCACACCCTCCCCGTGGGCCACGTTAAGGCCTCATTTGTGAATCTCCCTTTATAAGCCCCACTCCCTCTTTGATCCGAGAGAACATTGTCTGCACAGAACAATACGTTTTCATTTCAATTTCCCTTCTTTTCAGGAAAGGAAATGTTTGCGCTTCAAAGGGTTTCTTTGAAGAGCAGCCTCCAGTCCTGGCCTGGCCAGGTTAGGGGTTCCGTGGCCCCAGCAGGGTGCGCAGAGCCTGGGCGGCTGCCCACGGCGGTCCCTCCCCGGGCCAGCTCCTTCAAGGAGAAGGTCTGGTGCAGGAGAAGAAAAAACAAACACATGGAAAAATACTTGGGGCTTTTGATCATGACCTTCAGAGGCCCCTTTCCACATACGGCGTAGATTTCACAGCTCAGGGAAACTGAGGTACAAACGATGGGGTTCCATGGACAACGTAGTCACAAAACTGGTCCAGGAACCAGCCGCCCTCGGTGAAGACCCCATCCAGGCCAGGAGATAATGCAGCCCCTCAGATGCTGCTGGTGATGACAAGGGGGACGGTGGCTTTGAGAAGTGAAACTCATAAGCAAGGTCCACACGCTTCATGCCACAGGCTGAAACCTTCCCTTGGGAACTTGTGGGCAGCGCAGTCGCTAATAAGAAGCAAACTTCACAGCTTTGAATTCCTCCTCCTTTCCCCACTGGCCCACCCGTAGGGGCCCAGAGGTTCCACAGCCCGTGAAACAACCAGGAGCTGGTCTCCAAGGGGCCGGGGCCTTTCTCCCCATCAGGGCCCAGGCCCATCCCTACCCTCCACTTAGTCTAGGAAGCCAGGGGTATATGTCAGACAAGAGAGGACCTGCAACACTTCTTTTCAAGTCCTGAACAAGTTCTGGGTGGATCTCCACCCTTCCCCACCCCGAGGGGTTAAGTTCGCCAGCTCAAGTGGGCAAGCGCCCAGGCGGTGGGCAGGGGCGGAAAGCCATCCAGACAGGGCGCCCGCCTCTCCCGCCACCCGGGGCCTCGCTGGAAGCTCCCGCCCTGAGGGGGCGCAGGAATTACAGGTGGTATTTACTTCTTCCTTCTTTTCCTTTTCTGTACTTTCCAAATTTTTCACGATACATATTCTAACTTTTAGGAACATTTTTTCTTAAAGAGGCTTCTGAGATAGAAAACTGGACCCCCCAACCCAAAA